CTGCACTATAAAAGGGCAAATAGTCTGGGGGACTAGTACCTACCTACTTGTATTCCTTAAAGTGAAATGATGGCAATCATCTTTCGGGACTGACCTGAAATGAAGAGAATACTCATTGCTGATCACTTGATTATTTGGGCATATTTCATGTTCCAAATGGAATACATAGTGTAAACTAGAAGTGACGGTTTGATGTGGGATCGGTAAATATGTATCCTACTTTTTTTAGGGTATGATGTGATTGCGCAAGCTCAGTCAGGTACTGGCAAGACAGCCACATTTGCTATTTCCATCCTGCAACAGTTGGAGATTGAGTTCAAGGAGACCCAAGCACTAGTATTGGCCCCCACCAGAGAACTGGCACAACAGGTATTGATAGTGTAGTTAAAAAAAAAACAAACTGCTTGCGTGTTGCATAGGTTTCAGGTTTCACAACTGAAGAGTTCAAAACAGTATAAATTGGTCTTATCAGAAACCTTTTAACTGTCCATGCATGCAGGGAGTTTTTGTTAAAAGTTAAATAGGAACTGGGTGTGCAAGTATGGTTTGCAGGGTTATATAACAGATGGAGAAACTAAAGTTTTCTGTTCAGGGTGGACTAGATCTGGTCTCAATTTTAAGTTTGAATGCAGTTGTGCAACATGAAAACTGCAGTGACATGTTACTAGTTTGTGATGCATCTTTTTGCATGATATGTTTTCAAGACTCACTGCTAATATAGGCTTTGAAGTACACATTGTTAATAAAACTGTAGGCTTTATTCAGGTCAATGTCACTGCCCTTTGGGGAAAATTAATGTAGCAATGATTTGTTGTAGCTGTAATTGCAGAGCGTGGCCCACTATTTATGGCTCCCTACACAATGAAGAATAAAGGACGTGTTTTTAGTTCTTCATCTAGCAGGTACCTGGGACAATAGGATCCCAAGTTTGACAAGGAACAAGACATTTCAAGGGAATTATACCTCCAAGCAGTTAGATCAGTCTTCATTTTGAGCTTGGAAGTAGTTAAGTGCTATGCATGCATAAAAGCTGTGTGTAGGCCACATATTTGCCATTATGCTTTGGAAGTTTAGTCACAATCTGTAATTCTGTTGGATAATTAAGGCTTTTGCCTTTTAGATCCAAAAGGTCATTTTGGCACTTGGAGACTATATGGGAGCAACTTGTCATGCCTGCATTGGTGGAACCAATGTTCGCAATGAAATGCAAAAACTGCAGGCCGAAGCACCACATATTGTTGTTGGTACACCAGGGAGAGTGTTTGATATGCTAAACAGAAGATACCTTTGTAAGTATTGCTGTCAATTGAGCATAAATTTTTTTACTATAATTTTAAAATTGAGGGATGATAGTATGATTTTCTTTTTAACAGCTCCAAAATGGATCAAAATGTTTGTTTTGGATGAAGCAGATGAAATGTTGAGCCGGGGATTTAAGGATCAAATCTATGAAATTTTCCAAAAATTAAATACAAGTATTCAGGTGAGCTTTATTTCATCCCCTACAATAGCTGGAGGTCAGGTTTTTAATGCAGGAACTGTTACAATACAACTGAAGTGTTTTATTGTCGTTCCCCCTGCTTAAAGCAATTGATGCATAACTATCTCTGTCTAGCACAATTCCATAGCTAGGCAGAGACGCTTGGCCTCAAACATGGTTTTTTGAGTATTGTAAAAGTTCAGCTAACTACTTGTGTGATAACATCATGTCTTTTTGGTTGTTTTTTTTAAGGTTGTGTTGCTTTCTGCCACTATGCCAACTGATGTGTTGGAGGTGACCAAAAAATTTATGAGAGATCCAATTCGAATTCTGGTGAAAAAGGAAGAATTGACCCTTGAAGGAATCAAACAGTTTTATATTAATGTTGAAAGAGAGGTAACTTGTCTAATTACTAAACATAAAGAATGTAGCCAGATTTTTGACCTTCTTGTATAAGCACTGTGCTAAAATTGCAGAAACTAGGATCACATCTTGGTTTTTGTAATAATGCTAGCAGAGTACACACAAGAAGAAAAGTAACTGCACTAGATGATAAAGACTGGGGTGGACCTCTTTCTTAATGTCCAGTGTCCTTTGTCTTAAAATTTGGTGCAACATGTCTTCTGATCAGCCTAACAGCGAATTTTTAATTGTAAGTTGAAAACAAAATTTTAATGACTTAACTTTTTCTTTGAAATATTGTAGGAATGGAAGTTGGACACACTTTGTGACTTATATGAGACACTGACGATTACACAGGCCGTTATTTTTCTCAATACAAGGCGCAAAGTGGACTGGCTCACTGAGAAAATGCATGCCAGGGACTTCACAGTTTCTGCTCTGGTAAGAGGTGTTCTCTAATAGTGGTAATTACAATGTCTTCTCTTATTAAAGCAGGATTCAGACTACAATATAGCTGTTAAGTGCTGTGTTGTCGTTCCCCCTGCTCAAAATAAAGTTGTTTCTTAACTATACTTGTCTGATAGACTCCTGTAGCAGCCAGGGACGCTTGGTCTCATACATAATTGTTAAAATAAATATTGACTGACTGGTGATTCTTGAATGAAGGTTTGTTAATTTGCAGCATGGTGACATGGACCAGAAGGAAAGAGATGTTATCATGAGGGAATTCCGATCAGGGTCAAGCCGTGTTCTGATCACTACTGACTTGTTGGTAAGTAAATCTTAGCTGCTCGTTTTGATCTACCAAAAGTTTTATTTTGGGTGAAGGTTTTTTAATAACCTTTACCAACTTAGGCTCTTTGGGAGAATAAAGACCACACTCCACAGTGGACTATATCACTAAACATATAGCCCATTACTATTTTGTGGCCTACATTACTTAAGTCTCTAGTTTATCAATTAGAATTTTAATACCATACCATTGTATTTCAGGCTCGTGGGATTGATGTGCAACAAGTGTCATTGGTTATAAACTATGATCTACCTACCAATCGTGAAAACTATATTCACAGGTGAGTAGATGGCACCTTGTTACTGTATTGGTAAAATGAGCTCATGTATTTTCTACTGATTTATCTGAAAGGTAACTTCAAGTCAGGGAACTGATTCAGTAGACAGTGTCAAATTGGTAAGATGAAATTAAAAATTGTACTTGGGAACATTGGTCATGCAGTGGGAAAACAATTGCAAACATTGCCCAAATTGTGGACTTTCATACCTATGGATTAGATTGTTTTAGTTTAGATCTGTTGGTCTTAGATTATTTTTGAGCTTTATTTTTTGTGATGCTCTTGTGTGTCCATGTGCTTTCTTGGTGATTATAGTTGGGATTTTCTTGGTGTTGTCTGGTAGCAATTTGAGCGGTCCCTGGTTTAGTTATAGTGGCTTTATCCCTAAATAAATTGAATTGTACTTTGTTATATGATGTAAAAAAAGACTTTTTAAAAACAGGAGTCGATAGCAGCAGTTGATGACGAGATGGCACTCAGAAACGGCGTTGACGTAATTTAGGACGTGGAATCATAAGCGAAACAGCACACTGTTTGAATAAAGAGCGAGTCGGTATTTATATTTGTTTTTCTTTTGTCAATGATTATTTTATATTTTAAGTTGCTCCAGCCAAGGCATTTTTGTATATTAGCCTATTAGGTGGTTTTATATTGTCTGGTTTCTATCAGGAAGGTAGAAAGTTGCTTTGGAGGTAAACACGTTTGAGTAATTTGAGTTATAACGTGTGAAACTGAGCAAAAAGCAGTGATGAGTTTGGGTTACCATACCAAATACTTGTTTTCCCACTGGAAAAAGTTGTAAGCTTAGACAATAGTTAACCGTGCAGCATTTGTGTTTACAGTTTACAGTTCCAGAAGTGCGCCGATATGGATTATATAACTGTTCTTTTTTGCTTCATCCCGGTGTGTTTATATCTGTCCCAGGCTGACTTCTGCTCTTGGCTGGCCCACTTTGGTATGGGCTTTTTTAATTTCACTACCCCAAACACAATACTGTCATCTGCTTTAAAAATAACAATGCTCAAGGCATCTGATAAAATCTCATTTTGCAGCCAGACAAGCTTTGAATCCTTTTGGCACTAACTGCAAAGGAAGATTTTTTTCCCTCTAGATATTGATTAGCAGATAGTGCTCCAATTAGAAGCACGAACTATAACCTTGATAAGTAAACAGCAGCTGATGGTTAACAAGTGGATCATCATGTTCAGTAACTCATGCATTGTTAGAAGTAACATTCTAATTGCTGTTTTCTTTTCTTATACAGAATTGGCAGAGGGGGTCGATTTGGGAGGAAAGGTGTGGCTATAAACTTTGTTACTGAAGAAGACAAGAGGATTCTTCGTGACATTGAGACTTTCTACAATACTACAGTGGAGGAAATGCCAATGAATGTGGCTGACCTTATTTAATTCCCGGGATGAGATAGTTTTGAATGCAGTGCTCGCTGTTGCTGACTAGGCGATCACAACGTGCATTGTGCTTCTTTCTTTGGGAATATTTGAATCTTGTCTCAATGCTCATAACGGATCAGAAATACAGATTTTGATAGCAAAGCGACTTTAGTCGTGAGCTCTTGTGAGGAGAGTCATTGGCTTTATCCTCTAGAGTTAGACTGTTGGGGTTGGGTACAAAAGATGGGGTCTGTAAAATCTTTTTTTCTTAGAAATTTATTTCCTAGTTATGTAGAAATGGTTGTATTAGATGTTCTCTATCATTTAATAATATACTTGTGGACTAAAAGATATAAGTGCTGTATAAAATCAGCCAATTATGTTAAACTAGCTTATCTGCCTTTATTGTGTTTGTCATTAGCCTGAATAGAAGGCCTTTAAAATTGATTTTTTTTTTTTTTTAGGAAGCATTTGAATGCATTTTGTTTGGTATTGTATTTATTCAATAAAGTATTTAATTAGTGCTAAGTGTGAACTGGACCCTGTTGCTAAGCCCCAGCAAGCAATCATATCCTAGGTAGGGTTAACCCCCCAGTAAAATTGCCATATTGCACATGTCTTAATGAAGTTTGAATGTTAAATAAATTGTATATTCACTTTAAAGGTGCTTTCATTATTTTATTGTAAAACAGTATGAATTGAATATGGTTTTAACAATTCTGGGTTAACTGTTGCATCACAGTGGCACAGAGGCTAATCAATTGCAGATGTTCATCAGCACCATCTGCTAAACACTTGTCAACATCCTATAAGAAAAAAAAAAAGGTTAGATAATTGTCCCTTTTAGGTAGAAGTATGTTGCTGAAATGTGCAAAGGTGCCTACTTACAGCAAGTTTTTCTGTAATAATGGACTTTTGTTTATCAGAAAGAGCATCATTTTCTACAACTACATCATGAAGTTGATTTACAAGCTGAGTTGCTGCATGACCTTCATCTATTAAGTCCTGTAACAAAATTACATGGTGTCAACATTTAATTTTCTCTTCCCCAAAGTTAGTAAAATAACTTAAACTTTTACCTTTACCACAGCTTCTAGCTTGTCAAAAGAGCCACTCTGACATGCAGCAAATATTCCATCAACTGTCTCAACTGGTATTACCTAAAAAGATAATTTTTGGGGGAAGGCAGTTTGGACATAACTCTGCAAGCCTGTGCCCACTCCCTTCTGTTCATGCTTGGTTGCTTCACTGTGTAAAAGGACATTTCCTAACAAATGACATAAAGCTGACAGCTGCTATCCTGATAAGTCAATCCAGAGTTGAAAAGGCAAGGAACTGGAAAAGGGTCTTCTCCAAGCCTTATACTCAATTCTGAGCTGACAGGTGATCCAGAAAAAGGTACTGGACCTGAAATTTAAATATGCTCTCCAGGTGGCTATGCCAATACATTAGTCCAGTCACTACAATGCAATAGGGTGATACATTACTTTTAAAATCCTTGAAAATATTCTCAAGTTTGGGCTTTCTGGCTTTAACAGTGGCTGATATCCTAGTGGCTGTCATTCCTCAAAGCAGTGGTTAAAGTCATTTTAAGGGAAAGTGCCTTTTCTCCAAGGAAAGATGCCTCTAAAGAGATTGGTTTAAATAATCCCTAGTACCCAGAAAAAAGGGACTAATGCTGTTTGTCTTCAAAAGACCGGTGTGGCCCTCTATTTTCTTTAACAAAAGATTTCTCTTAAAGTTGAAAATGCATGTGCCTTTATTATATGACCCTTTGTCAGAATAGACTACATTTATAAGAAAAGACATCAGAGGGGGGACGGATGTTGGAGGTATGGGACATCTGTACTAGTTTAAACAATAAAGATCCCTGCAGCATTCTGATACTCCCAGGTTATTCACTTAGTACTGTTCCTAGCGCAGTACTTGGCACATGCTATAGACTAAATGTAACCCCCTCCCCAATTTATGTTGAAAAAAAAAATCCCTAAAATATTTGGAGGTAGGCCTTTGGGAGGTGATGGGGTCATGAGGGTGAAGCCCTCATGAATGGGATTAGTGTCATAAAAGGGCCCAGGGAGCTCCCTTCTGCCATATGAAGACGCAAGCCATCTATGAATTAGGAGTCCAAGAACTAGAAAGTGGGTCCTCACCACACGGAATCTGGGCACCTTGACCTTGGATTTCCCAGACTCCAGAGCTATTAAATGAATTTCTGTAGTTTGTAAGCCACTCAGTCTGGTATTTTGTTACAGCACCCTGAGTGGACTAAGCACATAACAAAGCATTCTATATATACTTGTTAGGTGAAAATTTTCTAAAAGCTGCCTAAAAGAATTTCAGAATAACTCATGTTCTTACCCCAGCAATGTCTGTGATCACTTTATCTGTGACCTCCTTCCCACCTGTTAATCTAGTAGCACTTTGAAGAAATGTAATGGCTTTTCTTAAGTCTCCTTCTGATACTTGAACAAGACAAGACAGTCCCTGAAAAGAAAAAAAAAGGTGTTTTTGTGTGTTTTTTACCTATGATGACCAGTTAAAGTTTTTTGATCTTAATAAAGTGAAAAGCACTATATTTTAGCCAAGAGTTACTGGGGAGAAATGAAATTTATTTCAATTTTTGAGGGAATATTATTAGTCCTATAGTGGCAGAATTCATGGAGACAGCCTCAGTCCAATGGAAGGATAGAGATCTCTTGCCTTTGAAAGTTGCAGAGATGTTCAACACTTCTCATCATACCTTTTTGATTACATAAAGAAAATTCAAATTATGGTTGAATTCTGTTATAATGAATAAAAGACCTATATATTCTATCACTGTACCAAAAATAAGTTTTTGAAGTGGAGTTATTAGCTAGGAGATTAAAATCTTGTCATTATAGAGATTTGTTGCTGCAGAATTTGCATTATATGTATGAAATCTGCCCCAGTTTTGGGTCTCTAAAATACTAATAATAAATTGCTAATAGTAACAGAAAGACTAAATCTGTAATTCCTAGACATTCCAATTGTTCATTTAGCTTAATTTTGCCTGAAGAATTGGCATCAGAAATTGAAGCAACACACATGACTCCTTTCAGGGCCTCTTCATATGCATTCATCAACATAATTAGTAAGTACAAGAAATAATAATTAGTACTTACCTCATTGCTTATTTTGACATGTTCTTTATCAGCAATGTCTAGTAATCGCTGCTGTTGAATTTTATCTGACAGAGGTTTGAAGCGGAATTTAGAACATCTGGAGGTCAGAGGTTCAATTATTCTGTAAAATATTGGACAAAACAAGTCAGTGTCTAAAAGAAGGATTTCCCCCAAAGAACTCATTTTTATCAAGATTTGATGAAGGAGATATTAATGTAGCCTTGAAACATTGATTTTTTTCTCTCCTTAACTGAGGGTTAGCAAAATAAGGCTGCCTAGCATCTATCTTTAAGGCAATATACATACCGACTGACATAATTACAGATGAGACAGAATCGGGTGGTTTTAGATTCTTTCTCCATGGTACGTCTTAACGCTGCCTGAGCAGCTGAGGTCATAGAATCTGCTTCATCCAGAATCACAATCTTAAAAGGAGGACATGGCTTCCCACTGATTCAGAGAAACACATAGGAGTAATAATTAACCTATCATCATTACAATCTAATTTTATAACATACTCATCCTCCCAAAGAAAAGTCTCATGCCCAAGAGGAATTACTCCTCTTCTCTCCCAATTCTCTCAGCCACAGGCAATCATGATCTCTACTTTGTGTCTCCAAAATTGCCTATTCTGGACATCTCTATATATAAAAGCCTAAGTGACTGTCTGACCAGTAATGATCACCAGGGGGCAGACGCTCAACATATGAGCTGCCAAGCTGCGGTGACTTGGCAGCAGCAGTTCTTGAATGATGCACCTGGAAACAGAGAGGAGGGAGACCGATTCCCGGATGCCTCACCGGAGAACCGTGCTCTCGCAATCCAGGAGCCCTCAGGGGATGTCAGAGAGCCAGTTTCAGCCCGATCCCCACAGGCCAGGCCAAGGGACCCCACCGGTACTCGAATCCGTGCACAGGGCCTCTAGTTTCATATGAATGGAATCATAGGATGTCAACCTAACATGTTGTCTTTTATGATTGACTTCTTTCACTTAGCATATTTTCAAGGTTCATCCCTATTGCAGTGCTATTACTTCATTCCTTTTAAATAATATAGCAAATGGATATACTGCATTTTATTTGTCCATTCATTTGTTGATGGGTGTTTGGGTCATTTTCATGTTTTGACCATTATGAATAATGCTGTTATGAACATTTGTGTACATGTTTTGAATAGACATGTTTTCATTTCTTGTGGGTACATACATAGGAGTAGAATTACTGGGTCATGTGGTAAAACTATGTTTAACTTTTAGCCAAACTTTTCAAAGTGGCTGAATCTTTTTACTTTACAACCAGCAATGTATAAGGGTTCCAATTTCTCCACATCCTTGCCAATACTTATTATGTTCTGTATTTTTTATTATAGCCATCCTAGTGAGTGTAAAGTGGCATCTCATCATGGTTTTGAATGGCATTTCTCTAATGGATAATGATGTGGATGATGTTTTCATGTGTTATCAGTCATTTGTGTATCTTCTTTGAAGTACTGTTGAGTCACATACCTTGCCCATTTTAAAATTAGGTTGTCTTTTTATTATTGAGTTGTAAGAGTTCTTCATATATTCTTGATATAAGTGCCTTATCAGATATGATTTATATGCATTGTCAATTCAAGGTGGATATCAAAAATTAGTCATTCACTTCCTATAAATTCTTAATGTGTGCTCTGATATAAATTTAAATATATGCCAGGAACCAAAAATTTAATCTTGAAACTTTGCCACCTGAGGAGTATAAGTAGTTGGCTAAACATCCCTGTTTAATTTAGGGCAGTCCTATTTAATTATTAATAACTAGAGGCCCAATGCACGAAATTCATGCAAGAGTAGGCCTTCCTTCCTCCAACTGCCGGCACCGGCTTCCCTCCAGCTGCCAGCAGGCACCCGGGACCTGGGCTTCCCTCCAGCTTCTGGCAGGTACCCAGGACCCAGGCTTCCCTTGCAGCCCTGGCTTCATCCAGAAGGACCGAAGGACGTCTGGAAGGACCTCTGGTCTAATTAGCATATTACACTTTTATTATTATAGATACCCCCTTTTTCATTCTAAAAGCATCCCAGTTTGGACAAGAACTTATATGGTCACCCTACTATGAAATATACACTGAAGCTTAAGATAGTTGACTTTTTAAAAATAACACAATAGCAAAAGCAGGATTTTTGTTATGTGTGCACCACCCAACTATCACATTTGAATTAATAAATACTCCTTAGACAAAATATCAGTGGAAAACCCTTGACAGCTAAACAAAATTAATTATAATGGAAAGTTTATTTCTGGCTTTAAATAATGTAGATAAAAATATGATCCAATATGAAAAAAGTTGTAAATTTGGCAGAAATATTTATTTTAAACAATACAATGACATGGTATGGAGAAGAGAAACTTACTCTGAACGACTTCCTGATACAGTTAATTGAGCAAAATTCTTCACTTTCTCTCTAACTACTTGTATTCCACGTTCATCAGATGCATTTAACTCAAGAACTCTTAATCGAAAAAGTTCATGCCTATGTAAAAATGAAGCAAATATGAAATGTCATAGAGCATGTAAGTAACTGAGGTTTAACCACATTTTAACATTTGCACATCTTGCAGTAGTTTAAAATCCACCTACTAAACAATATGGATAGAAGGTACACAATTGTTTCTGTATTATCTCTTTTGCAGAGACATGCAGTTAACATTTTGGCTTTGTTCCATGCTTTTTTAAAAATATAGGTAAACAATATCACATAATATATAAAATTTTAAATCAATTTTCCACTTTGTATTGTATCATAATCATCTTGCCATCTTGCAACCAATCAAAATACTATTTTTATAGCTGTGAAGCTCCCGAAATGCCATTTTAATAGCTATATGACATTTCATCCTACAATTGTACCACCATTTACTTATTTAGCATCCTTCTATTGTTAGACGTTTAGTTTTAAGTATGTTGCAATTTTAAATAATGCTGCAATACAGTACATTTTGAATTATTTCCATAGGGTAGCTTGCTATAAATAAAATTACTAGATTAAAACATGAATGGTTATTTTAAAGTGAGTTTATTTATTTATTATATTTGTATTGCTATCAGAGAGGAAGGGGGAGATAGAAACATCATTAATGAGTGAGAACCATGGATGGGCTGCCTCCTGCACGCCCCCTACTGGGGACCAAGCCCCCAACCTGGGCATGTGCCCTTCACTGGAATCGAACCCAGGACCCTTCAGTCTGCAGGCTGACACTATCCAATGAGCCAAACCGGCTAGGGCTTAAAGTGAGTTTTTAAGAAAATTATTAAAAGTAGTTCACTGTAGGGAAATCTGAGAAATCAAAAGATAATTAAAACAACTGGCACACCCAAAGCACTATTTTGAAAGGTTCCTTCTAGTAATTTTTCTACTTACTTATATATACTTTTAAGAAAAAACTAGATTTAAATTTGTTTTATTTTTCCTAAATATTTTCCAAAAAGATATCTTTGCTATATTGGAGCATGTTGCATGGGTATCAGACCCGGGCTAATATCTTTCTAGGTAGAGGGCTCCTAAACAATGGTTGGCTAAGCCAAGACAGAATCTAAGAAGAGGACTCTAGGAAGGTGGCTCACAGAGATTTTCTGCTATACCTAGAATCATACTGTATCGGCGACCATACACTCTGCTTACACTCAGGATGCCTGAGGGTAAGAATCTGGTCCAGCCACTCCAGAGGCAGGGCCTAGGAAAGCCAGTGCAAGAAGGAACTCAAGAGGTGGTGTGGTCAGTAGCATCAGACACAACAGATTTGATCATACGAAACATGTTAACGTAATAATTAAGAGTGTGATGAAATTATCGATGTGGTATTTTAAGATGGTGGCATAGGTTAACGCCGGAGTTTGCTGCCTCGAACAACCACTTCAAAAATACAACTAAAAGACGGAACGGACATCATCCAGAACCACAGGAAGGCTGGCTGAGTGGAAGCTCTACAACTAGGAGGAAAGAGGAAAGCATACCGAGACTCAGAGGAGGCGCAGTGCAGAGGTGAAATACTAAGGTGCGGAGTGCATGCGGAGAGGGCTGGCGGCTGAGGGCGCGGTTGTCTGTTTCAATCAGGAGGGAGTCTCAGACTCTGAGCTCCATATCCTGGCGAGTCTCTAGGGACCCAGACTCAAATGGGAGAAGCGGGACTGTCTGGCTTCAGTCGGAACTCAAAGGTATTCATAAGGAACACACTCAGGGGGCAGACTCAGTGAGCACCAAAGCCCCACTGAAGCAAGTCTTGCCCCAGAAGGGTGTCTTCAGCACAGAAGTTCTCCCACTGCAGACACAGCTGATTCTCACTGCCAATTGGCCTGGAGGTCAATTCCTCCCAGTGACACCTAAAACAATCAAGGCATAACTACAACAAGACTGTGCACAAAGCCCACAAGGGGGTGCACCAAGAGTGTCCACCTCAGGTAACTGGGGAGGCTGAGCCACTGGGCCCTGTAGGACACCTAGCACACAAAACCACTCTACCAACACAGGGAAGCAGACAAAATGCGAAGACAAAGAAACAGGTCACAAATGACAGAAATGGAGGACAGCAAACGACTGGATATAGAGTTCAAAACCACGGTTCTAAGATTTTTCAAGAATTTTATGGAAACCGCCGATAAATGTATTGAGATCCTTAAGAAATCTAGTGAGACCCTCGATGTTGTGATAAAGGACCAACTAGAAATTAAGCATACACTGACTGAAATAAAGAATATTATACAGACTCCCAACAGCAGACCAGAGGATCGCAAGAATCAAGTCAAAGATTTGAAATACGAAGAAGCAAAAAACACCCAACCGGAAAAGCAAAATGAAAAAAGAATCCAAAAATACGAAGATAGTGTAAGGAGCCTCTGGGACAACTTCAAGCGTACCAACATCAGAATTATAGGGGTACCAGAAGAAGAGAGAGGGCAAGATATTGAAAACCTATTTGAAGAAATAATGACAGAAAACTTCCCCTACCTGGTGAAAGAAATAGACTTCCAAGTCCAGGAAGTGCAGAGAACCCCAAACAAAAGGAATCCAAAGAGGACCACACCAAGACACATCATAATTAAAATGCCAAGAGCAAAAGACAAAGAGAGAATCTTAAAAGCAGCAAGAGAAAAAAAGTCAGTTACCTATAAGGGAGTACCCATACGACTGTCAGCTGATTTCTCAACAGAAACTTTGCAGGCCAGAAGGGAGTGGCAAGAAATATTCAAAGTGATGAATAGCAAGAACCTACAACCAAGATTACTTTATCCAGCAAAGCTATCATTCAGAATTGAAGGTCAGATAAAGAGCTTCACAGATAAGAAAAAGCTAAAGGAGTTCATCACCACCAAACCAGTATTATATGAAATGCTGAAAGGTATCCTTTAAGAAGAGGAAGAAGAAGAAAAAGGTGAAGATACAAATTATGAACATCAAATATGCATCTATCAACAAGTGAATCTAAGAATCAAGTGAATAAATAATCTGATGTACAGAATGAACTGGTGATTATAACAGAATCAGGAACATAGAAAGGGAATGGACTGACTATTCTTGTGGGGGAAAGGGGTGGGGGGGATACGGGACGAAACTGGACAAAAATCGTGCACCTATGGATGAGGACAGTGGGTGGGAAGTGAGGGCGGAGGGTGGGGTGGGAACTGGGAGGAGGAGAGTTATGGGGGGAAAAAGAGGAACAAATGTAATAATCTGAACAATAAAGATTAAAAAAAAAATTATCGATGTGACAAGACAGGCTGGGTTTTCTGGGCCCAAAATCATAATAAATAGTGATAAGCCCTTGCCAGTTTGGCTCAGTGGATGGAGCGTTGGACTGCAGACTGAAGGGTTCTGGGTTCGATTCTGATCAGGGGCACATGCCCAGGTTGCGGGCTCGATCCCCAGTGGGGGGCGTGCAGGAGACAGCCGATAGATGATTCTCTCTCATCATTGATGTTTCTCTCCCTCTCCCTTCCTCTCTGAAATTAAAAAATATATTTATATATATGTATATATATAAAATCATGCCCTGGCTGGGTATCTCAGTTGGTTAGAGGACCATCCCATTCATTAAAAGGCTGTGGGTTCAATACCTAGGTTGAAAGTTTGATACCTCGTCAGAGAGCATACGGGAGGCAAGTGGTCTATGTTTCTGTCATCTCTCTCTCTCTCTCTCCCCCCGCTTCCTCTTTCTAAAAATCAATGAAATCATATTCTCAGATAAGGATTAAAATACCTATCTATCTATCTATCTATCTATCTATCTATCTATCTATCTATCTATCTATCTATCTATCTCATGGGGCTCCCTGTGTGTAATATATTCAAACACTGAATAAGGTTCAGAATGAAGGTCACAAAAGATGTAGGCAAGCAAATTTACTGGAGCAGTGGAACTGGAAATCAACCCACTGGATTAATAAAAAATTCAGAAATGAAAACAAACCCAGCAATTTCACAGAAAAACCAAATGCAAATTTTTAGAGAAAGAAAAGCAGTACCAGAGATTTTCAGTGTCAAGTCTAAAAAAAAAAAAGATATTTCAACTTACCCAAAGAGTTCCCTCGCTGCTGCCAAAATAGTGGATGTTTTTCCAGTTCCAGGTGGCCCATAAAACAGGAGATTGGGGAGCTGTAGAAATTAAATTATTTTTAAATTGTACTCTGGCACAAATAAAGGAAGACTGAAAATGTCTGGAACACTGCAGTAATTTCCCCAATAGAGAGGGTACATATACTATATAATAAAGAGCTAATATGCTAATTAGACTGGACAGCCGAAGGACCGTCCGGACAACATTCCAGACGAAGCTGGGGCTGCGAGGGCCAGCTGTGGCTGCGAGGGCCGAGCCCCTTGCATGAATTTTGTGTATTGGGTCTATAGTATCTTAATAAACAGGTTTCTTAATATAACTGGTATCATAGTATTCAGTTCTAAATCCTGCTTTTCCATATAATACTACTAGTGACCCAGTGCATGGATTCGTGCACGTTGAAAGGAAATTAATTAGAAGGTGGCTGGCAGGGCGGGACTGGGAGAGACAGGCCAACACGCCCTGGAGCCAACCTCCCACGGTCCCTCCCCAGTGTCTGTGGGGTGAGCGAAGTCCCTCCGGCAGGTGGGGTCCCTCAGCCTGGCATGCGGGGATCGGGCCGAAACCAACTCTCTGACATCCCGAGGGGCCCCGGAGTGCGAGAGGGCACTCTGTAAAGTTGCTGTTGTACAGTGTGTGGAATGCAAATGCAAGTGGCAAGTGTGCAGTAAACCAGATTCAGGGCCAACAGTGTCCCAGCAACAACATAACCTATGGCCTAAGGTGGAATCGCTTGCCCCTGGAGGAATTGGGCTCCCTCCTCTCTGGTTTTGGGGTGTGTCACCTGAGAACTGCCCCCCTGGTGGTCAGTGCGCATCATAGCGACCAGTTGGAAGGTAGGAGGCACACTTAGCATATTAGTCTTTTATATATATATATAGAAGATAGATGACTTCTTCCCCAATATGTTTTTCTAATACCTTAAATTGAATCATATTTATGATTGTTCTATTCCTAATTTACTTAGGTGGAATTTTCAAAGCTGAAATTAGAAACCTTTTATTTCAGAACCCCAGGCTTTTGCCAGGTCCCTGTCCCACCCCTTTGCTCAGCATTGGGCAAGATTTTATACTTGATAAAGATGTCAGTTATTTCAAAGTGGAAATAGAATGAAGGAGTAATTGGATTTGGCCAATACTGAGGAAAAAGGAGTGAAAAAACATATTAGGGCTTTGAATGAACTGAGATTGCAAAAACAGAAACATTAAAAGAACTAAGCATCTATTAAATGCCAGGCAGTACTCCACATCATGATCATGTACTCTGTAGGATGCCTGTATATATCAGGGAGAATTCACTAGAGAAAGAAGGATAAGGTTAAATAACTGGTTATCTTCTTTTATACCTTAAGTATAGCTAGCTTGGCTCCTTATAAAGCAGGCAATTGATCTGTGGTACAGATTAATAAATGTAAAAATTTCTAATGAGCTCTCTTACAAAACTGTACATTCTTCAGTATGTCCTTTCATGTAGGGAAATAATTGCACATAGGAAACTGGGCAGTAGTTTATTTGCTTCTACTCTTGCCTAACCCCCAACCTCCACCCTTTCCCATCCATTCTTCACCCAAATCAATGTTACTCTGCTTGTTACTTAAAACTATTCACTGGCTTCATACTCGCATGTAGGAAAACAGAAGCAGACAAACAAATCGACTGGTTTACCATAATCTTTAAGGACATCCATGATCTGCTCACCACTTCTCCTACCTCACCCAAGGATATTTTTTCCATTGATTTTTAGAGAGAGTGGAAGGGACGAAGGTGGGAGGGGGGTGAGGGGAAACAGAGAGAGAGAAACATTGATGTGAGAGAGACATTAATCACTTGCCTCCCACACGCTGCCCCCGAACGGGGGCCAGAATCAAACCTGTAACCCAAGTACCTGCCCTTGACCAAGAACCAAATCCATGACCCTTCGGTGTGCTGGCTGCTGCTCTAACCTCTGAGCAACACCTGGCTATGGCAAGAAAAATATTTTGAATAGTTTTATAAATATAACTTCTTTCAAAATATGCACTGTTGTACTGTAATTCCAGGAAGAAAACAATGGCAGCAAAAACGAAAAGAATCTCTACTTCAACGCAGCCAGGTTACAAGGAAGGAAGCCAATCTTGGAAATAAAGCAAAAACCAAATACCACTTTCATCTGTAACTTTTTCTCTTCCTTCACTGAGTTCTTTTTTTTTTTTAATTAAATCTTTATTGTTCAGATTATTACAGTTGTTCCTCTTTTTTCCCACCATAGCTCCCCTCTACCTGGTTCCCCTCCCACCCTCCACCCTTGCCCTCCCACCACTGTCCTCATTCATATGTGTACGATTATTGTCCAGTCTCTTCCCGCATCCCCCACACCCCTTTCCCCCCCACAAGAATAGTCAGTCCACTCCCTTTCTATGCCCCTGATTCTATTATAATCACCAGTTTATTCTGATCATCAGATTATTTATTCACTTGATTTTTAAATTCACTTGTTGATGGATGTGTATTTGTTGTTCATAATTTGTATCTTTACCTTTTTCTTCTTCTTCCTCTTCTTAAAAGATACCTTTCAGCATTTCATATAATACTGGTTTAGTGGTGATGAACCCCTTTAGCTGTTCCTTATCTGTGAAGCTCTTTATCTGACCTTTAATTCAGAATGATAGCTTTGCTGGATAAAGTAATCTTAGTTGTAGGTTCTTGGCATTCATCACTTTGAATATT